ATCTCATCTCCTTCTACGACCAGGTAACATATCACCTGGATTGGACATTAGGAAAAAATTATTTACAGTGAGGGTTGCCAAAATATGAAATGGGCTTCCAAGGGTAGGTCTTGCCTAACCAATCTCATCTCCTTCTATGACCAGGTGACATATCACGAGGATAAGGAAGAAGAGATTGACATCATTGATTTTAATAAAGCTTTCGATCTGCTATCCCATGATTATCTTATAGAAAAACTGGCCAACTGCGGCATCAACTGCATCACAGTCCACTGGCTGGGGAATGGCTCCAAGGTCAGACCCAGAGAGTGGTAATTGACAGAAGTCAAACATTGTGGTGTGCCATGACCAGCAGAGTCCCCCAAGGCTCCGTCCTTGGGCCTATTTTTTTCAACATCTTCATTAATGATGTGGACATCAACATCAGAAACAGACTGGCCAAGTTCGCTGATGACACCAAACTTTGGTGTAAAGGGTCCACACCCAAGGACAGGATGGTGATCCAGGCCAACCTTGACAGGCTCGGAAAATGGGCAGACCAAAACCTGATGGCCTTCAGCACCGAAAAATGCATGGTACTCCACCTTGGGAAGAAAAATCTGCAGCATACTTATAGGTTCAGCAGTGCAACACTTGCTAGCACCACAGCGAAAAGGGACTTGAGGGTTATTATTGACCACAAGATGAATATGAGCCATGAATGTGATGTTGCAGCCAGCAAAGCAAGCAAAACTCTGGCTTGCATCCATAGATGTTTCTCTAGCAAATCCCAGGATGTCATCCTCCCACTGTATTCAGCCTTGGTGAGGCCACAGCTGGTGTGCTGCATCCAATTCTGGGCTCCATAATTTAAAAAGGATGTGGAGAAGCTTGAGAGAGTCCAGAGGACAGCCACACACATAATCAGAGGGCAGGAAAACAGGCCTTATGATGACAGGCTGAGAGCTATGGCACTCTTCAGCCTGGAAAAGCACAGGCTCAGGGGGGACCTGGTGGCTGCCTATAAGTATATAAGGGGTGTACATCAGGATCTAGGAGAATGCCTGTTCACCAGAGCGCCCCAAGGGATGATGAGGTCAAACGGTCACAAAGACCTCCAAGACAGTTTCAGGCTGGACGTAAGGAAGAACTTCTTTACTGTCCAAGCCCCCAAGGCCTGGAACAGACTGCTGCCAGAGGTGGTGCAAGCACCTACTCTGGACTCCTTTAAGAGTCAATTGAACATTTATCTTGCTGGGATCCTGTGACCACAGATGACTTCCTGCCCCTGGGGCAGTGGGCTGGACTCGATGATCTTCTGATGTTCCTTCCAGCCCTAATGTCTATGAAATCTATGAAATCATTCAACGAATTTTCATTAAGCACCCCAACCACCATTTTTAAGGATGGGAATGCTGATACATGAGACCCAGGAGGCTGCTAGACTGTGGCAATTGCCATGCTCCAGCAGACTCAGTTAATTAAGTCGAGCACATTGGAGCAGCCTACATGTTCATATATAGGCACCATTAGAGACTAAATGGTTCAGAGAGGCATGAGCTTTCATAAGCAACAACCTACTTTGTCAGACGGCAAACAGATTGAGAATGCATTCAAAATACAAAATCAGAGATGGGTGGAAAATAGAATTGTTTTATACAGAGTTTTGAGGGAAAAGAAAGAGGAATCATTAAGCAAATCACATGTAGAAAAGAAAAAACCCAGAAGCTTTATATCAACTATGAAACATAAAGATCTATTTTCAGACTGAAAAGAAATGAGGAAAAGAACACAAGACTCTCTTTGCTGGATACTGACTTGAGTTAAAGGAGCACCATTGATGGAAGACCTGTACCTTTACATATACCTTAGGGCAGCAGTCAGCAGCCTTTTCCTGGTGCAGGCTGAAGCTTGCAACATATCTGTGACTGCAGGCTGGAAGCCTCTGCTACCTAGAGTGGTCACCTACCTGCATTCACCCTTGCTGCAGATACTCAACTCCTCTGCACAAAGAGAGGCACAGACCCCGTGGAGCAGCAAGGTCTGCAGTGAAAAAGAGCACTAAGGAGGGCATGTATGGCACAGTGCAGCAGCTGCAGCCCTGTGTCAACAATCCCCCCCCAACTCCATGCCAGATCACCAAATCAGCCCTTCACAGGTCAGATCAAATCAGTTTGCAGGCTGGATCTGGCCTGAAGGCCATTAGTTTCTGACTCCTGCCTTAGGGAATTGGATGCATCTTAAATGTTAAATTAGTTATTGGATAAGTTGAGTTCATTAATAAATAATGTGGAGTTTTCTGTTTTGGTTTTTTTAGCTGTGCTAATTTATGTGGGTTCTTGCACTGGAACAAAATGGAAGACATCTCTGAGCAGCAATTTATACATGAACATGCTTTGCTTCTGCCAAATCTTATGTATGTAGACAGCCTGGCTCAAATAGTACCGCTAGCAATAATGATAAGCAAAATTTATATGCATCCAACCTGTCACCTCTGGCTTTACATAAGTATTTCAAGTCAGCTCTTAACCTTCTCTTGGATAAACCAAATAGACTGATTCTTAAGTATCTCACTATAAGGCAAATTTTCAAGACCACAAATCATTCTTGTAGCTCTTTTCTGAACTGTTCCCCTGTAATTTTTCAACAATGAAGTAGTGTCTGAAAATTCAAGTCTGCAAGCTTCCCAAATGAATTCTCTACCACTTGTGTTCAAGGACTCACTCCATTAATATAAGGCAATCAAGGAGGCTCTTTTCTATTTTACCCACCTCTCATAAAGGATGCTATTCCATCTCAGTTTTCATTGCCACCTATAAAAGCTCTTCACACAGATCTTAGATCCTTGAAGGGATGCAGTGGAAGCCAATTTGTTGGAAGAGTGGTGGCAATGATAAAGGACAAAAGAATTCTTTCAAGGATCCCTCTCCATGCTCTGTAATGGAGAGTATACTGATTGCAGGAATAGAGCCCCATGGCACTTCTTTTAAGATTCTCTCCTTCTATATCCTCCATGTATATAGAAAAAAGTTATTATCCATGTCATTTGTAACTAAGGTCTCAAATGGTAAATACTTAGTTAGGATCTCTCTCTTCTACCCCTCATAGATTAAATGAATCAATCTAGATTTACCAAGAGGACTGAATTCCACTCTACCTCTATCCAATTCTCCTTATAACTAAGACATGGTTGTAACAGCTATCTTTCCTAAAGATCACTTAAAAAAGAAGCTAGGACTACAAGTAATTATTAATTAACCACTAATATTCAAATACTTCCACCTAAATCTCTTCTGGAGTCAACCTTTCTCTGAAAGGTAAAAAACTTTTCCCTCATACCTGCACTTTTCCTTTAAAAAAAAATGAAGAAACCTTAGCAAAATGCTGTTATATACTCAATCATTTAACCTTGATGGTAACTAAGCAACAAAACATACATTCTTATCTTATGGCAGGGGGTAGGAATAGTTTCTTTCGATGTTTTGCTCAAAACTTGCCTGAAACAAGCCATAGCAGCCTTTGTACCTGCATATAACCGAGGGATCTCTAAAGGCAGATAGGCATCACTAAAGTTTCATGCTTAGTTTACACGTATTTGGAAAAGAAGCAAGTTGTCTTATTGTCCTGTCCAGACGTAAAACCAATATTGGGTATGATTTTCAAATAGGACATATAGTTTCTTACCCAACTTTGGAGCTGAGTGGAACAAAATACCAGGAAGTCAAGAAACTTGTCCAAGCTCACAGTGAGAGAGAGATATTGGACCCAGGAACATCCTATACTAATTGAATTGCTATTAGCAGATATATGCTATTCACACAACTGACACCTAAACATGAACAAGTGAACACATGGCATGTCATTTTGAAAAAAAACCACTGGGTTTTATTTTCCTGGGACCTTCGTATTCACTCAGCTTTCCTGAGAAAAAGGAATTCATTGATTTACTGCGACAAGTTATTACCTTGAATACTTCTTTTGAAGAAAGCCTTACAGCCCTCGCAAGACCAAACTCCATAATGGTAGCCTGAAGCATAGTCATTGCACACAGCACAATACCGGGTCTCCTTTGTGGATTCCATGGACAGGCTCGCTTTTTCACTGGTGCTGGACATCCTCTCCCTGCCACTCTGACGCCTGTTATCTGCACCTGGCCTGCAAAATTAATATTTGGCAAATTAATTGACATTAAAAGTCTTATCCCGTCCTGAAAACCAATCAAAGAGACCACAAGCAGCTCTACTTTACACAGTAAATCTTATTTCTAAGATAATATTTAATCACCTTCTTGCATTTTCTACTATATATATATAAGCATATATAAGTATGCAGTGTGTGTGTGTGTGTGTGTGTGTGTGTGTGTGTGTGTGTGTAAAATAAGCTAAGGAAAGAGTGTTTCTGGGATCTCACTACCAAAGATGATTTTATCAGTACATTGTACCTTGAAAAATCAGCTAGTCATTTTATAACATAACCTGAATGTTCTCAACAAATTATAATGAATTCAAAACATCAATAGGTAGTTCAACGTACTGCTCAGTAACACCACAGCATCAGTAATCAATGGTACAGCATTTTTGGTGGGGGTGGGGGAAGGTGAGGTAGGGGAAAGCAGGACAGGTGGCATCCAGGACACCAGACCCAGGTTCCAGTTCAGAAGAGGTGCTAAAATAGCAGGTCCCAGGGCAGCCTGTACACCAGTGCAGCTCATTTTGGGGAAACTTGAGCCAAAGTGGCAGCAGCTCTTGCTGCCACTGCTGCAGCCCCTGTCTAAGCAGGTAGGCACTCACTCTGCACCTCCTCCCCCAACATTGCCTAGTGTTGCCCATAATCTAAGGTTATGCATTTGTACAGAATAATTCCTGCAAGCATTAGCAGTCTGAAAATCCTAGGCAAAGAGCTAGAATGGCTGGGATATTCAGTATGTGTATCTTTGAGCCATTTAAAACAACCATGCCATTTAAACAAAAAGAGATGTATCTCTTCTAAGAATCATTAAATTACAAAGTAAAGCCAATGCTCCTTCTGAGAC